TCACAACTCTTTGAAAAAAGTCACAACCTAAGTTAGGGATATTATAGTAATTTAACATTCAACTTAGGAGTTCATGCTTTTAAGGTAATATAGATTAATATGAAAAATTAAGTAGAAGGAAGTTGATGAGACATAATATTAGAGTAGAGAATGCAAATAGATAGAGATTTTTTTGTAACTCATGAAACATTATTAGATATAGTAAATATGATAATTTATTTAAGTATTAAATTAAATGTATAATTTTTTAATGAAAAAAATTCAAAAAAAAGAAGGAGAAAAAGATAATTAAATATGAATGGTGGCCATAGAGAGGTGCCACATTACCTTGTCTATATCTAGTTTTATTATATATATATATATATGAATTTAAAATGTACATATGAATATTAAAATATACATTAAGATTAGAGATCTGAATCTGAATGATAAGATGTTGCATTAAGATCTGAATACTAAATAATTAAGACTGTTTATTTTATCAACATCTGAATGTATAAATTTATCTTTGCTTCAATAAAATAAATTTAAAATTTAAATAAAATACTAAATTGATCTAATATTATATCAATAAAATATTTTAAAATTAATTTTGGTAATTGACGGTTGTGGTTAGGATGAGAATGATGGTTGTGGATGGTAGATAGTGGTCGTAGTTATGAGTGGTGGTGGATGAAACTAGATGGAGTAGCGGTGAACTAACATCTTTGTACAAATTCTTAAATAGACATTTTAGTGATATTAAGGGTGTGTTTGGTATGAAGGAAAATGTTTTTCATGAAAAATGTTTTCCTAGAAAATATTTTCTTGGAAAATAAGTGGATTTCTAACTTATTTACACATGTTTGGTTGGAAAGTAGAAAATATTTTTTAATGTTTGATTGGTGAATGAAAAATATTTTCCAGAAAATACCTTTAATTTTGGCTTGAGACTAGAAAATACTCTTTAGGAAAATAATTTCTTATCTGAAAATCAACCCCGATAATTTTAGGACCTGACTCTAACACCCGAACTAGGACAAGAATATATTTGAAATTTAAAAAATAAGAAAATTTTAAAAATTTATTTTTTTATGGGAAGGGTCTTGTACGGAGTACATGGTGGGGTAAGAAAAAAAATATTGAAGGATGAAGTAGAGTTTTGGAAAATGTTTTCCTTAATTTTTGAAGGGAAGCCATTTTCTTTAAATTTGAGGAAAATGAGTTGATTTGGAAAACATTTTCTAAAACATTTAAGCTAACCAAACATGAAAAAATTGGAAAATGTTTTTGGAAAACATTTTCCTTCATACCAAACACACCCTAAGACTTTGTTATAGATCTTAGTCATTCAGATCCATTAAGTGATTGTAAAATAAGAAAAACAAACACACTTAATAATTAAGATTCAGACCTTAAAGATAAACATAATGAGATCCAAATAATTAAAAGTAAAATATTCATAAATGCAAAAAGTGAGAACTTAATTAATACTATCTTCGTCCACTTTTAATTGTCATAGTTTTCTTTTTAAAATCAAACAATAATAACTTTGACTAACATTTTACGATGGTTCTTTTCATCATATTGATATGCAAAAAATTGGAATATATAGTATTTTTTGTATAGTTTTTGAATATCTAAATTTTTTGTTTAAAATATCATATGAATGCAATCTTATTTAACTTTAAAATCAGTCAAATTGACTTTCGAAAAATATAACATGATAAATAAAAGTGGACAGAGGGAGTAAGTGCTTAGGTACCACTTTCTTTAGAACATAAGGAGTTTTAGTAAATAATTTAAAGGTGGGGTGGGGTGGGGATTATAGTGATATTTATGTAATTACTTTATTATTACTTGATATTCGTAAAAATACATTATTCAGGTTAAAATAAAGGAAAAAAACTTAAATGTCATCGAATTTTGAGGAAAAAACTTATTTATGTCATTCATTAAAAAATTGGTCCATATATACCATTATCGTTTGAGAAAAGACTAATCCATGGCCATTATTTATTAACTGGAAGGAGTTCTGATTCTGCTAAACCATTTTTTACACGTGGTTAATTATGATCTGGCCAGATTATTAATTAAATTATTTTTAAAAAGAAAAAAACTCAAATATGTCATCGAACTTTGAGAAGCGGTTCATCTATGCCATCCGTTAAAAGTTTGGCTCATTTATGTCAGTTCAATTAACTTATATAGGCATGGATGAACTTTTTTCACACGAAAATGACATAAATGAACTTTTTCTCAAAATATAATGGAATATTTAAGCCTTTTTTCATAAAATAAAGAATTGAAAGAAAGCCGTTCGACTCTACCAAATAAAATAAGGAATTAAAGGTGCATATTCCTTACTTGCATATGAAGAGAGAGCTGAAAGAATTCAGTAAGGATATTACTATATTATTGAGAATACTACAGATTGTCTTCTTTTTTATACTCAACTTTACTTTACTTTTTTATATTTTATTTGGGTGTTTGGAAATAAAGGAGATACAAACATTAACTACTAATAAACTAACTGTAGTGGAATAAAGAATAACAAAATTCTTACGTGAATGTTAAGACAAGAATATAAATAAACATAGTATTTATGGAGATCAAGCCTTCTCATGATATTGCAAAGATAATGAGTATTTTGGGTATCGAGATGAAAGGGATATTAAAAATCAACTTTCCAATCTTGTATTATTTGTTAGTAAGTTCACAAATATCTCTCTCTGGATAGCGTAAATGTCTTTGAAGGAGCATATTCTTCGGTGTGGAGAAAGTTATTTAGCGCGATTTTCATGGCGACGAGGCAATTCATTCCATGTAAACTTGTACCATCTCCACTCCACAAGGTGAGAAACAACGATGGGAAAATCCCTAGGGAATTATTCACAAAAGAGAACAAGCTATTACTAAAAGGAGGGGAAAGGTGGATGAAACACACTACGAATTCTTGTATGATTGTTGCAACTTTGATTGCCACGATGGTGTTTGTTGTTGGCTTCACTGTGCCAGGCAGTAATAACGGTGATAATGGTATTCCAATATTGCTAAAATTAAATGGATTTATGGTCTTTGTCATTTCAGATGCAGGAACACCAGTACAAGCAGTATGGACATGTCAAAAGCCATAAATCCATTTAATTTTAGCAATATTGGAATACCATTATCATCGTTATTACCGCCTGGCACAGTGAAGCCAACAACAAACATCATCGTGCCAATCAAAGTTGCAACAATCATACAAGAATTTGATGTGTCTTTCATCCACTTTTCCCCTTCTTTTAGTAATAGCTTGTTCTCTCCTGTGAATAATTCTTCCATCGTTGTTTCTCAGCTTGTGGTATATATAGGTGGTACAATTTTATCCACTTCATAGAAAATTACTAGTAATTATCATTCTGCAGCAACATGTTTTTATATATATATATATATATGTCAATTTGATTCCATGTTGTTTTTGTATGTCAGCTATAATATCAGTTGCGGTGTAAATTATTTTTACTTCAATTCAACAAGTTTGTCTATAAATAGGTGATACATATACAAACATACACAAAAAATAATAATATACAAGGTAGATAATATATTCTCAGATACACATACAATGATTGATATGGACTCGATCCGCTCCTATCCACTCAGGAGTACCATAGCCTGTCGGGAATAAGGGGGGACATACTGGACGTAACCACTCCCTTGGTTGGGGGCGCCTGTGTAGCCTGCCTTTCAATCAATACACAGTTGCGGAGGCTGGTCACGAACGCTACAGGTATGGGAGCGATCCTGGTTAGGAAAGGCTAAGACGACGCCTCACAGCAAGAGGACACTTATGCCCCGACGGTGGGGCCTTATGGGGAAGGGCCCAGCCCAATAGGGACAGCACACCCCCTACTTCAATTGAATCGACTGAATCCCTCACTAATACAAGAATATAACAGAATATACAAAATCTACTTACCATGATTTACTCATTTCTTCACTTTAAACTGTATATTATTTCGCAAATCATAGTTCTGCATCACACTAACAATAATTTATATATATGTAGCATTCCTCGACCTCTTTATGTAAATTGTCATCTATTTTATCAAAATTCTTATTTTCTTCAATAGATGTACTAATCATCTTCATATTTATTGTATCAATCTCTTCTATAACTTTATTTACTTAGCATTATAGCTGGAACTTGTAGGAACTGCAGAATTATTAATTTCTTTCATTGTAATATAAAATGCATGATTAGTAAAATCTGATTTTTTTTCTTCTTCAACTAAATATAGACATGAACATTAGTATCGTTGTGGATTAAGATGAGCATCAAATTTTTCTTTTGAAGAAACTTAATTTCTAACGCATTCAATTAAGTACAACTTTAATCTGCTTTGAAATTACTTCAATTAAATTTTCAATCCTTTAATCAAATGATGTATATGAATATTTTGAGCTTCATTGGATTCGATACAACTTAAATTTAAAGTTTTTAGAGTAGAGAAAATTGAAGTGGGTAATGGTATAAAAGAGTTGTAATGAGAATGCTCTTTTTTCCAAAGAACATATAAGGTTTATTATCACTAATGGGTCAACACTATTTAGGCTAGAAAATTATAATGTATGTTTTGGGCCATTTTTTTGTAATGTAATATTTTCTTTATTCTAGTAAAACGTTTCATTGCTTTACTTTAAAATATGTTTCAGATGTCCATAAAGCATCAGTTACAACACAGTTTAGGAAGGTAGAATCCCAAGAAGTTATATTTATACATGAAATTGAGAATTCAACTAGATTATGAGCTAACACATTTCATGTTCGAGGAATATATATAATCTTGATTTCTTCAAAAGACTTCAACAATCGTCAAACATCCTCACAATAGTTGTGTATTTTTATTTTGAAAATTTCCTTCTTTTTTGGAACTATCACTATTAAGGTAATTAGAGGACTTATATTTGCTTAGTTAAGTAATTTCCCACTAAAGAAAAGACAATCTTGGCCTTAGAAATTTGTAAGACACATGTCAATAATCCAAGTGACCATTGATAATTATTGGAAAAAAAGTATAGTATACAACTATCACATATGAAGTTAACAATAAGGCTTTCAATTTGTTTTACATTTGATGGACTCTCTCTAATTAAACACATCATATATGAGAAGAATGACTCCAGTTATGAGTTGGAAGGTGTTGAAGGAACATAGCCATCTATTGGAAGTCAAGCTTCAGCAGCTTATCTGACCACTGTGCAATAAACACAACATTTAGGAGTTATTAAGATATGACACATGGGCCTAACTCAACCCCAAAAGCTAACTCATGAGGAGAGGTTTGTCCAAGTCCATATAAGGAGGACCAATTTCTCATCCCTCTATCGATGTGGGACTTCTTAACACTCCCCGCACGCCCAGACCTCAACTGGAGCGTGAACACGTATAATGGGGGCCCAACATCAGTGAACAACAAATTGGGATGAACTGGACTTCAACCTTGATAAATCTGGACCATTGGCCTTGATACCATATTCAGATATGACACTTGGGCCTAAGTCGAACACAGTTTTCTTTCTACATTAAGATAAAGAGTGTGTTTGTGTGTGTACGCGTGCCCATGTGTTTTCTATATATGTAATGCAAGTAAGACTCAGTGTCATCACATAAATCTCAAGCAGATATTAAGAGAAATCTTACTGTGAGAAGAAAGCTTGCAGCTATATACACAAGAAAATCTGGCAGTGCATCACCTACTGCAAGATATGTATCCCACAATCGGGTAACAAGATGGAAAGGGATCTGCAAGAATGGATGATTAGGTCTTTGTTTTTAGGGATACGGCATCTAAGAAGAGCTTTATCAACAATGTGTAACTTCAAAAAGACGAAAAAACTTAATAAATATAAAGGCAGAAAAACAGACCTCGAGTATCAAGAGACAATTGAACCAGCGAAAAGCAAACTGGAGAAACTCAAGCCCTTGCTCTTCCATGTGTGTTGACGATTGCTCGTACTTTCTTAGCTCTAACACCACAGTACAACCATTGTTAACCTCTAGTCATTCGAAAAAAAATATGTGTTTTCTTATACATGATGAAATTCACCATTTTATCAGCTTCTTTTGATCTTTTCTAGTAATTGGTCTTCCAGAGTCTTTTTTCTTTTTTCCAGCATCTCTTTACCATGTCCAAATTTTTATGGTGATCCAAGTTCCAATTATCAGACAACAATCTTTCAACCACCTCCATCAACAAATTATAACAGACAGAAATACATGTGTAACTCTTTCCAACCAAATAAATACAGAGCAATTTTAGCAGGCCAAGAAAACTAAATGAAATAAATACTGCTTCCAACTGTAAAACACTCTCACAATGCTGTCAAATCATCGAGGTATACGTACCCTTTCATAAGGTCATAGAAAGTTAAACTTATTCACAAAATAAAAGACATAATATGTGAAACAAAAATTTGCTTAACCTTTAAAACTATTACCCCCTTTGTTTCAATTGTTTGTTTTAGTTTGACTAGACACGGAGTTTAAGAAAGTAAAGAAGACTGTTGATTCTTGTGGTCTTGAATTAAAGATTTGCATAATGTGTCAAAATGCACTTTAATTGTGTGGGATTTGGAGTTAAAAAGAGTTGCCAAATTAGGAAACATGCACTCTTTTTTAAACAGACTAAAAAGGAAAATGAAACAAATAGATTGAAACAGAGGGAGTACATTGTTTCATGTGTCATGAAAACCAATAATTTTTTACACCATAATTCCAGATTCTCTAGCATTAGGCAGTAGATAAAGACAACGAATAAAGTAGAAACCATTAGAGCATTACCATCTATCCGTCTAACCAATTCCTTTAGCTTAAACACGAGCCTCTGGATTCCCGGTTGAGCAATAATTTTGAAGGTTATGAACACCAGCAGGAGCAATAAATAAAGGTTAATGAGCGCCGATGCATCTTCAATTCTTCAATTTTTATTTCTCGGCTGCCTTTACGGTGACGGCTAGTAGGGTGTGCATTACTTTTTCTAATTTGGTTTTGTATTATTTGGATTCAGATTTTAAGTTTTGAAAAAATTCAATCCAATCAAAACCTAAGTTCAGTTTCGTTCGGTTTCTCTTAATTTGGTTTTTATCCGTTTTGGCTTTTGGTTTATTGGATTTGTCACTTTTCTCTTAATTGCTAAAACCATCAATGTTTATTTGGTAATCGGAATGAACAAGGTAGTGTATGTAGCAACATCTTAGTGTGCTACTTGGTGTATGGAATATAATCAGTAACTATAATGTAGATAAGCTAATAATCTTTGGTTTTTCGGTTTAATCCGACAAATGCTCACACCTAATGACTACTACCAATTTCGAACATGCCAACAGCCCATTATAACCCATTTGTTTTCTCATCTAGTTCCACATCTTAACTAAAGAAATAAATGTAATGCTATTTCCTTTCCTCTTCCCTTTGTAGAGAAATTCTACAATTCAAGGAGAATGTTACAGTTAATGAATACAGAGAAATAGAAAAATGAATACAGAGAAATAGAAATAGTTTACCATAGGTAAAGTATGTGCTCCAGGGATTTCTGAACTTGTGCTTGTTGGAAAAAAGAAACATCAGGCACTGTTCTAGGGCAATCAACAGCAATCTAATAGCACAAGTGATTCAGTAGTTATATGACTGACGACATTGGGAAATGAGCATAAGGCATAAAAAAGATCAAAGAGACAACCCAACTGCATTGAGAATACCTGCCGAAGCATGTTGATCTCTTCATCTGTTCGCTCGATATCTGGAATATCATAGTACTGAGCAACACAATCAAGATAATCTAGACGCTTTCTTCTCAGAACTCCCTCCCTTCTATCTGAACTAGGGGTTGCATATCCCTGTTGTCAGCTCATTATTTAAATTTCATAAAAGCAACAACTCATGTCTAATAAGAAAATCTCCAATCCAGTTTAACATGTTTTGTTAACTAAGTCAGTCAGTCATGTTTGAGAATGGTAATAATATCGTAAATGTAGTGCACAACAATGGTACTAAGTCATATTTACAGATTGCAAAAGGAATCCAAAAGGCATAGTTTTCTCTTGGATCCTACTATTACAGGGATTCTATAATGTCTAACATTGAATCAACATCCTGTACTAAATCTTCCTTACACCAAAAATGAAATAAAAACAGGCATTCATCTTGATTTTGTGTATGGAGTTGCGGGTCCCTTCAAAGCATCTATAATTTCTCCCCTTCCATATAATCCACCTCATTCAGACTGGTATAATCTTCCACCAATTTTTTTGTCTAACAAGGCCAACAGATAAGTTTCAACAAGCATGTAGCTCCCCTAGAGTCATGGTCATAATCCATGATAATTTCATACTAAGGAATAGTTGCCAGAGCACTATAGTCACTTCACAACGTATAAAAAGATGGTTTCTACTTTTAGACTCCAGTCTACATAAGATAACACCTTGAACACAGTTGCATTTCCCTTCTCTTTAACTTTCTTGTGTAAGGTAACCAACCATCTCTAACAACTAACAGCACAAAGCAGGATACATTGGGAGGTGTTTTCACTTGCTAAAATGCCTTCCAGCTCCATACAAGGACTGCTGACCAGCCTAATTGAGATGTGAGTATGCTGATGTTACTATAACCTAAGTTGCTCGGACTTGGGTGCGGGTGTCCGATACAGGTGCGGATCTAGAGGCGGATCCTTCATGATCTAATTTTTAAGATTCGGGGATATGGATCCATGTATGGATACGGATGCGGGAATTCACCCAAAAATAATTAAAATAGCTAAAAATAGAGTTATAAAACAAAAATAATGAGATATTATGTGGATAAGCTGAGGAGAATCCTGGAAGAAGATTAAAGGAAAAGGAGTGACATAGAAATTTATATTTAAAAGGTATTCCATTTTCTTCAATTTCATTTTAGTTTTTGTATTGATTACAGAAATCATTAAAACTGTCCAGACTTTCCCCATCAGTTTGGTCAAAGTACCCAAAATCGGTTGACCAAATCAGACACGGATCCCACACCCATGTCGTGTCGACATGGGTGCGGCACCAAAAGTGAAGAGTTTGAGTAACTTAGACTATAACAGACCCTTACTACGCCATCAACAATTTAATCTATCCTCCTCTATTGTGATTTCCTTGAACTTATCCAGAACTTTTAGTACAATAAATCTGGGAAGTTCCCTGTTATTGAGTTGTATTCTAAAAATCCATCTCCACCCGTGCTGGTCCCAGTTATCTTCCACTGTGGCTTCAGGAATCGATTCTTGAGTCTTCATGTCATTAAACATGTCTTCCAAGTCACATCCCAAATCCTTTTCCAGATCTTTAATATTTCAAGTTACATTTATGTGGAAAGAGCAAGCTATTTATCCAGTTCACATGAAGACCATAAATTGCTTTAAAAAAATCAAAACTGATCTCTGGAATTTGATCTAATGGATATCTGCATCACATAGAATGAGGGTATCATCTGCATAGAGTAAATGTGAGACTTCTATGCCATCTCCCACCTTGAAAACGTTGATCTAACCATTGTAGTTAGCATTATTAAGCATTCTGATAAACCCTTCCATTATTAAGATAAAGTGGAATGGATAAAAGGGATCACCCTATCAAAGACCTCTTTGAGCTGGAAAGAAGCCCTCTAGGGACTCATTGATGATTACTGGATATCTGACAGTACTAATGCAAAAATGAATCCAGTAAATCCATTTCCTTCCAAATCCCATTTTGTTACAATTGTTAATATACAAACCTCAATTCACACGATTGAAAGCTTTTTCAATGTCAAGTTTACAAAGTACCCCATTGTTCTGATCTTTATTTCTTGAATTCATCCATTCGTTGGCAATGAGTACAACATCCATAATTTATCTCCTTCTGATGAAGGCCATCACAGATTTAGCAACCAGCTGGTCCATGATGCTCTTCAATCTTACGGTCAACAGTTTAGATGTGATTTTACAAAAACTTCCTGTCAAGCTAATGGGCATAAAGTCCCTCGATTCAAGGGGCTCATTCTTTTTGGAAATCAAAGCATGTATGTTGCACTGAAGATTTATTTGAATGTATGTTTGCTGATGTTATTGTTCTTTCTTGTAAACTTTACACTGCTTTTCTTATTAACTGTTATGCTTCTTCATTGTTTTCGTCCTCTTATACTTGAGTTTGATGCACTTGAGCCAAGGGTCAATTAGAAACAGCCTCTCTACCCCTCCTTGAGGTAGTGGTAAGGTCTGCGTACACTCTACCCTCCCCAAACTCCACTTAGTGGGATTTCACTAGGTATGTTGTTGTTGTATGCTCGTTATAAAAACCTTTGATGCTTCATAATGTCTACTTTGAGTTAGAAATGAACTTTCCTGTTTAAGAGTTAGAAAAATCTTCCCTCCATGTAATTTCACATAACAAAGTTCAATGCAGTCTCCTAGAGGTGTCACAAAACAAAGTTAAGTACCTAAAACAGACACTGAAACAATAATAGATAAATCTGAGATGGTTTAACCAACTAATATAAAGCATTAATCATATGATTCCATAAAAATAATGGAAAATGGCTAGTTGTTTTTTCACGTGCCAGAAAGAGAGATCAGTGAATCATCTTTTGTAAATTTTACAGTGGCTCAAGATATGTTGTCCAGGTTTCTTGTGATTGCGGAGTGCAATGGGTTATCCCAGTGTTATCAAAGGCGCGCTTTAAGAAAGCTTAAGCCCTGAAGCGAGGCTCAAAACGTGTTGAGCTCTTCGCCTCGCTTTATGTGCACTTCAGTGTTGCCATCAAGGTTCTAAGGCAAGCATTTCCTTGCCAATGAGCCTCTTATGAAGAAGTGACACTAAATAATTGATATTCCACTTTATCATAAAAAAAATTCAATTTCTTTGGTCATATATTTGTCATTCATATTTATAATTATTAGTCTTGGACTAAACATATATATATTTGTATTCTTTTCTCCCTTTGCGCCTTTTTTCATTAAAGTCCACACTTTATTTGCGCTTTGCGCTTAAAGCCCCCACAGACCTTAGAGCTTTTTTACGCTTTTCGCCTTTGATAACACTGGGTTATCCTTGATCAACTGAGTCCATTCTATCTCATTTAAGGCATGAGGATAAAAAAGTATTAAACTAAAGGAATTTGTTGATTGAATCCATTCCAAATGAAATTCCGCTAACAACGCTTACCTATTACCCCTAGTGCAACCCGACTTTTTAGGGGAACCATAGATAAGGAATGACAGGAGACCCTACAACAAAATAAACCAGCCACTCATTTGAGAGAGTAAATAAATTAGGGTTGAGCTTATGATGGTCTTGGAATCTTGGAGAACTATATAACACTAGGCTTTGTGGTCAATTTGCTAGTTCCTAGATTACATTTTCTAGTTGTGAGTCCCTCAAGATATTACCTTTCTTTTTACAAGTAATCAAGAAGGAAACATTGACAAAACCCGTGGAAGAGCAAACCAGAAACAGTCGTTCCGATTGTGATATAAACATAACTGTCTTTTTAGTCTCACATTAAAGGGCTTAGCTAGGAGAAAATTCACAAAGCCTTGAGATGAGGGAAAGAAAGCATCACTTTTGTGATCAACGTGCCAAAGAATAAGCCAATGATAGTTTAAAGTGGCAGGAGGGTTGTAGGAATAAGCCTCTATGTCCAATCCTGCAAAGGCTTATCCTTAGCTGAAGAACAAAGTTGGTCTTTAGGTACCGTAAGAATTTCAAGTAAGCATATAGTGACCCGAGAAAATTACAACTTCGTTCCATTTTTTTTCTATGTTCATCTCTACCGCCGCACTGAGAGTTAGCTTTCAATTTTTACAGGTAATTTTTTTTATTTTCTTCTCACGGTTAGGAATCTGAAGTGAAAATGGTGATTTAGGTTTAAAAAGAAGAGATTTTATGTTTTTGAAGTAAAAATGATCATTTAGGTTAAAAAAAAAGAGGGTTCTGTGTTTTTGAAGTGAAAAATGATGATTTAGGTTAAACAAAAAGAAGAGGATTTTGTGTTTTTGAAGTGAAAAATGGTTATTTAGGGTTAAAAATAAGAGGGTTTGTGTTTTTGAAGTGAAAAATGGTGATTTAGGTTAAAAAAGAAGAGGGCTTTGTATTTTTTAAGTGAAAAATGGTGATTTAGGTTTTAAAAAAGAAGAGCATGAATTTCACATACTTTGTTGTTGCATGCATGCCCTAAATAGTGTATTATTAAATCAACAACAATAACAATAAATACAATATTTATTAGGGCATGCATGCAACAACAAAATATATGAAATTCATGCTCTTCTTCTTTTTTAAAACCTAAATCACCATTTTCACTTCAAAAATACAAAACTCTCTTCTTCTTTTTAACTTAAATCACCATTTTTCACTTCAAAAGCACAAAACCCTCTTTTTTTTAAACCTAAATAACCATTTTTCACTTCAAAAAACTCTTCTTCTTTTTTTTTGAGGATTAGTAATGTTGTATTATTCAGCATTGGGAATGCTGGCCACCATCAGAAACAAGTTACAAAGCAAGTAGACTCTAGCTTTACAAAGCTCCTAGAAATTCTACAAATTCCTCTATTTCCTCTATACAATTCTGTTTACACCAAAAAAATAAAGTCTCCAGGCAGTTCCATTTCACATCATGGACTGATCTGATTGTCTTCAAAACACCTTCCATTTCTCTCCCTCCAGACTGACCACCATATGCAAGAGGGTATTATCCTCCACCATTTTTTTCTGACTTTTAGTTCCCCCTCTTTTCATCCAACAACTCATTAGATCGGCTGTATGTTCCGGCATTGTCCACACCGTCTTTGTGAGACTAAAAAACATGTTCCACAATTGGGCAGTGAATTTACAGTGTAGGA